GCCAGTCAAGATAAAGCTACTTTGTCTTAATTGGCTGAATTGCGATGCACGATCCGCAATCTCAATTCAATCTGCATCCGTAATTTGTAGTGTGACACGGGTATTAATTAGTGAATTCAAATTTCATTAACGTGAATTATATACATATGTAAATATGAGGTATATCTAATAAATTAGTTTTAATAAATTCCACTAATTTGGGAAAAATTATTGAGTTAAAAGGGAATTATGTATGTACAACGTTGTTTGGTCGTTTATGTACAAAACGAAATGCCTACGCTATGTCAAACGCAAACACCCGTCGAATATTTCTCTAAAAAAATGATTAATCGAGAATTGTCGGAGAAATAAAGCATTTTTATTAGCCGTGCTTGACGCGAAACCTCTACAAGTCCTAACAAACATCGTTATCTTTTTGCACTCTGCATGTTTGTCTATAATTGTAAAAGATTATTATTCCAAATGGAATTTAGAATTCGTACATTATTATTTTTATATTATGTTTTAATATATTTATTTTTATTATTGCGCATTTATATTTAATAAAATTTAATAAATTTAAAGGCAAACAAAATAATTACCACTTTGGTTTATGTAATATAATTAATTTATTCATACACACATATATGTATAGATATACAAAGTTGTTTTTAATACTTGTGATATTTATAGTTTTATAAATGCATTGTTTTTTGTTATAAAAGTTATTTTTACTTGTCTGAAAATCAAATAGGGTACGATATTAAATGAAATATTTTTGAAAAGTTTAATAACGGAATAAATTTTTCAACTTTAAAATTGATGAACGAGTGCAGAGGGATGGATGAAACTATTTCTCTAGTCAGCCCCTATATAACGTGTCATGTAACGTTTAATTCGGCAGTGTTGCACAGCAATATTGAATATGTACCGCGAGATGGTTTTTCCGAGCACTATTTCGAGGCAACGCGTTTTAGGGCGGATCTAGTGCGATTCACGATTTAAAAAAGATATGAGGACTCAATTATTTTTTACGCGAAGCTGTATCGTAATCACCACTCATGTATATGTTTTTGTATGTACTGTGATTATGATTTGTTAGCACAAATATAATATAATAACCAATATTGCCGAATGAATTAATTATTATGTCAATTATTATGGAAATTAAATATTAGTATTTATATATTTATTATATATATGATTAATTAATTAATTAATTTTCAAAGTTTGTCAAATTAAATTTAATTGAATTTGAATTAAGTGTATTCAATTTAAATTACGGAATTAAATGTTATTAGTTTACCAATTGAATTAATTATTAATTTATCTTATTTACAAAATATGTCCCTAAATCAATGCACAATCGAAAAGAATGAATATTTTGAGATAATGAAACTTATTCAGATTGCAAAAATATTTTCAAATTCTACGAGATTTAAAGGGTGGAACTTTCTCCTCTCTTCTTAGATCCGCCCTTAGAAATATACTACTACTTTATTTGTTTTTATAAGGAAAGACATTTGCCTACCATGATCCAAGTAACAAAATGAAAAAAATGCCATCGCAAAACTTCGTTAAAAATATCGTTAAATTGATAAATTCATAAAAATTAATAAATATTTATGAAGATTTATACATAAATTTATTACAAATAGGATAGAAATGTTCCTGAATCGAAAAATAAGAAAACAATGTATCCTATCCGCGATACATAAGCGTAGATACGTAATCGAAAAACCGATTCAAAATGATTATGGGTAATGTCTTTTCTTAATGTAATTTATAAGTAAACCGAAGTATGCCGATCTAGTCGAAATGATCGTCGTCTAGCGAATTTACAATGGCAATCACTCTAATTTCTAATTGATTGATACTTTACTGACGGTGATTGTTTTACTAATCATCAGAAATAGTTTTTATATGATTTTGTTTCATATTGAAAAAATATTATAAAACCCTAATATTTTCAAATAGTTTACTTTAACATTTCAAAAAATATGGATATTAGGTAAATATTTTGTTAATTATCATTTAATATTTAATGCAGCGCTGAAAGGGGTTTTAATATAACGTATAACAGAGTAAATTAAGATAAATTACAATAAATAAACAGTTTATATCGAGCAGTAATCAGATTTTAATATTGTTACTGCTCTGGATATAGACCGTTTATTCATTATACTTTGCATCGCAAAAACGAGCGAAATCTAATTAAGATAAATTAAATTGGAATGACAATTATAAACGAGAACGTTCCGGCTAGAGCGGAGCCTCAAGTGCATTTACGACTTATTATATATATATATATATATATATATATATATATTACAAAGATATATAAATATAAATATATGTCGAGATAAACTTCGTTATAGGAGTGATTATGTTATGCGAGACGAGGAGCGATCCTTTTGCTATTCTTGTTTGCTGTACACCGTAAGACAAAATTGAGTAGGAATGGCGGGATTATCATTTCAGCTTCATGCTACATAGTTGTAGCAATTGCATATACAGATAGTATCGTATTATTGTAAACGATTGGAGGGAGCAGGATGGCAAGTTTTGTGCGAACAAAGGCACTTTTGTCCGCATAACGAGTCACGATCAGAGAGACGAAAATATTGACAATTTTCTGTTCTTTTATATTAGATTCTTTGTAATATAAAAATAGACTGGATATTTCACTAACTAGTAGAAGTATATGAAATAGCACACATAATGCTCAATTACAAATTAACAATACCGATAGTAATCGCGGTTACTAAATCGCGAATCAGAATCCTTGTATTATGTTATAATATTTATGCTAGATCGATAGTTTTTCCCTCTATTATAATTTTAAGCATTAACATTTGAATTTAAATATATAATAAGTTTTATTTTTTGATTTGATGTTGTACAATATTATCATATTTTTAATTTTAAATATTAATATTCTTAAAAAAATAATCGTGAGGAATTCTGAAGAAAAGCGAGCCATTCTCTTTAACTGCCATTAAAAGCGAGTCAAAAACTTCTCTGATCGTTTGACGAGGTAAAAGGAACCAACCCCATCTTTTTGTACCTTGTGGCTTAGATAGAGCCTCGTGTTAGTTCGAATCCGAGGTTCGCGAATGAAATTTTACAAACTTGTCATAACATGTGTGTCGTGACTACTATATTTAAACCGTAGAGCTTCAACGATTGAGAGCGAATAAAGTTTTATGTTCACCAGAAAACATCCTTGGAATTCTTAGATTTCTAAATTGCCTTAGGCCGATATTCATAGTCAAAGTTTATATTTAAGACCGTCTTAAGTATAATCTTGAGATATCATGAACCAATCAGGAAGCCACATTAGCATCTTAAAACATTATTTAAGACGGTTTTAAAATAAGAATATGGATAATGAATATTGTCCTTAATTGAATATCTGTATAATATTCTTTGCTAAATTTCTATTTTAAATGTTATGGATACAGATCAATATAAGCAGTTTATTTGTCAGCTTATTTTTTAACTTTTAGTTTATATTTACTTAATCAATCTTAACATAATTCGCACTATTTTAATCCTTCTGTGAACTGACAAAATAATTTTTTAGGGGGATGGGTTGGATTAAACGATTGTTTATTATATAGTTTATTGTATAGTTTATTGTAATGTCAATTATATACAAATTTAAAATTACGTCCAGTGTGCTTCCGACTACGCTGACGTACCGTTTTTCTCGTCGATGTGCAATAATACAATATCAGAGCTATTCTCGCGAGCTCTTTGGTATCTTTCACTCTTTAACAGCGCATCAGCGACAGACCTAAATTTAATTAATCTTTATTTACAGTCGAAATTACATTTAAAAGTTCTTTCAACAGTCTGTCGCCGTTCAGATATTCAAAAAATGTTCGTTAATCCTTTAAAAATAGGACAACTCTAGAAATTTAATCTTTTTTTGTCTTTGTATTACTTGCTAATCTTAAAAATGATACAAATGATATGAGATTTTAGTGAAATCAATAATATGAAGACGAAGAATAATGTCTAATGAAATCTTTATATGAACAATATAACAATATAATTTTTCAAATAGTTTGCAATCAGTTATTGTACGAATGCCTGCCTCGCATATAATTCTTTTTTGGAAATGTTTAAATCAATTATTTGAATCAATAAAACTGATTAAATTTGCAGTTGTCTTATTTTTTAAAAACACATTGATGTATTAAACACAACGCGTTTTTTTATCGCAGCAGCTTTCTTCGAATTTTGACTTACTTATTATATTACTTCTCATTCAACGATCCGTAAATTTTTTTAATTCGCGATCATTTGGCAGTATATACTGTTGAGTGTTGTCAATTATCGACTTTTCTTTGTTCTTAAGGTAAAAAGAAATTATTCGATTCTCGATTATCTACTTAACCCTTTCATCTCATCAAATTCATCAAATTTTTATTGTACAGAAATTTATCTTAATTTTATTTTATGCTTTAATTTGCAAAAATTACTAGAATATTGTAATAATTCCACGAAATTGTTGAAATGTTTTTATTTTGTCAATCTTTGTCATGGCAAAATTTTGCTGTTAAGAATAAATTTGATTAAAAAATTTAATCACATTATCATTGAGAGAAAGAAAGTATTAATTAAATATTTAATTGAGCATTTGAACGATCGACGTCATAGAAATGAATCGTCGTGGCAGCGATTCGAACCATTGTCATAATCATTATCTCTCGGAAGAGCGAGGACAGTCTCGGCACGACTTAAATCGGCTCGAACCTGCAGTCCATATTACATGAAAATATAATGAAAGAAGAGGAAAGATAAAGAAACAACACAAAGGATTAAGAAAGTACCATCAATTTTGACAATTTTGTTTGTGTGCGTAAGAAAATCGTTTACTAATTTGTTATGACAAATTTTAATGAAAATTGAAAAAATATATAAAAGAAGGTATCAATAGTGTCAGTAATAAAATTAGAATCTTTAAATAGAATATATACTTATAACATGATAAAAAATATCAAAAGGGGAAATATAATACGATAAAACTCTTTTCTTGAGGATGAAGAGTCCTACTTAACGCAGATTTGTCTATTCGTCGAAGACTATGTGATTTTCGGCAGTTGGTCGCAAATTCGAAAGGTAGAAAACGATAACAGTATATGGCGGTGTCACTAACACAGGGGCAGCAACTAGCGAATGGAAGCGACACTGCTTGGCCCAAACGACTGGACCTCGACCTTTTCTAGGTCTACAATAAAGGCCAGCAGTTAACTTCCGGATTCAAGATCCCAGTCACGCCTCTCTCTGGCACTAATACGTACTTTTCACGTAACAATGAAAGTTCTCCATTTACTTTTCATCCTTTATCACTTCCTATCTATCGACAATATCACGCTTCGAAAAACTTTGAAGAATTGTTCCATTTTCCGTCGAGTATCGTTGGATAACATTATTTCTGAAACGATTTTCCGTTTTTGACTTCATACTTTGTCTCTTTTAATCGTCTTGCGGTTTCTTTTGCAAGATTTTGCCACTTCTGACCAAAAACCGTTGACGAGAAACATTCTGAAAAGTTATCTCAGTACGGTTTCCTAATACTCGACAGTTTTTAATCTAAAAGTTTCGGTATTCACTAAAGTATGATTCTCAGCTTCTTTGTGACCTGGCAATGATTGTGTTTCTTTCTCAATGTCCTGATTATGTCCATGATCAGATTGATAATTAGAAAATGATTTCTATTTCAAAGTAATTCCATGACGGTTGTTTTAGGATTCTAATTTCCTCGCGGCCATGTTAGTTCGGTGGCCACGTGGTCTCCTAAAGTCAGACCCTTAATTCCTCCATGATCTGAGGGTGATTGTGTCCCTTCTTCAAGGTTCCAGTGCCAGTCATGGCCAAGCTCTCTTGCTGCAGCTGATTAGGACTGATGATGAGGTTCTGGCCAGGCTTGCCGGGCTTCGTATTCTTCGGTGGCGGGGGCGGCATAGGCACGTGACAGGTATTGTTTTGGAGATCAGCAAACTCCGGCGGCGGTATGTGCTGGATATGATGTCGTTCGGCGGTTTTGGTTTCCAGCTCGCCGCAAATGTTGTTCGGCATTTGACCGTTCTCTTGACGCTTCTTCGAGCAGCCGTGGTGTTGGTGGTTACTCTTGTCGCGTTGATAATACACCCCGGCGAAAATGAGTACATTCAGGATCAGCAAACTACAGCCGATCGCGATTGTCACGCTCAGGGCGGTGGAATACGCCGCGAAGCCATCCTCGGGTAACGCCGTGGAATCCTCAAAAGTAATGTCACTTGGTATAATTGTTGACATATTAGACAAGGATTTCTCGATAGAAGTTACTTCCAACGTAGTCGTTCTCGCAGTTGTTGGTAGCCTCTGAATAAATCTGGGTGGCACCTGAACAATAAAATTCTTCCTGAGCTAATTGCTTCAACTGATTTCAATTTTGATAATTGTATGATTAATTAGCAATTGTTTTTATAATGTCATTGTAATACCTGCTCAGCATCGAGAAGATGATGCGACCTAGGAACGTCATCTGAGCCGGGTTTATGAAGATCGGGCACTAAATTCAACCAAAAAGAAAGGCGATGGGCCCTATAGTGGTTCTTCAATTTCGATTTGAGCTCTATAAAATTAATAAAATATAAACAAGTTTGTTTATTTCATATTATATATTATTATAATAATTTTTATGCCATAAAACATGTATAAAAAACTTAAAATTTTTTATTAAGATCTTATTTTCTAATGATTTTCGGAGTCGCTAAATTTGATATATTTTGGCCAGAATTTAAACATTGAAAAAAATAATATCATTGTTGTAAAACTCGTTTTAGTATAGCTGAGTTTGGACGCAATCGGAAAATGTTGAATTTCAAAGGTAGTAATCTTCAATGAAACAGAATCTATATAGTGTTACAGGATTCATAATTAAAGTTTAGAAGTTAATTTGGAAATAAAAATAAGTACTGCTTGCGTAGTAACTAATGAACTTCAAATAGAGCTAAACTAGAAACTTGATGTTACTTTAAATTAAAAATTCTCTAAAATCGAATTTTATGAAAATCAGAGATTTTTTTTTATGTTTTTATTTTTTCTAATCGCTATATTAACTTCATCATTGAATATCTCTATTAATATTAAAATCGAATAAATTATCGAAATAGCTATATATTAAGTTTCAATTTGATAAGTAGTTTTTAAATTAAAACGTATGTGCCGAAACACAAGATTAAAAAAATGTCAAGAAAATATAAACTTTTTCAATACAACGGGAAGATTTCATGAAAGAATATTTGATTAAAGAGAAACGTTACAAAGACTTACCTATACTAAGATATTTTTTATGGACAGCCTCATAAGCGGTCCAGTCGATATTTTTAAACTTGGTCCTTTCCGGTCTGGAACCAAGAGGTCCAGGATCAGGAGTACCCTCATTCGGATTTCTGATGAAAAAGATCGTTAATAGTAAACCGGTTGGCCTTTTTTTTTACGAAAACATCGCGACGAAAGATGCTTTTTTTCCACAACTTACCCCGTACGTGCAAAGTTTGTCAAATAGAGTATCACACTTTCGGAGAGCGCTATCTCGGCTCTAGTATAGTTCTTCGGCCAATGAGACAAACCTCCAACTAAGGGCGCTCCGAAAAAATATGGCAGCTCCTCCCCATGGATACATCCTGGTCTCTAAAATAATTAACACAATATGTATAGTAAAAATTTAATTTTGTTTCTAATATAAATAGGAGTTAAAGTAAAAATAGGAATTTATTTCTGTTTCTATATGCTGTTATTTTTGTTTTTATCTTTTTTTTCTATGCATATATAATACAATATGATAATAATAATAGTTTAAAAGATTTTGTGCAAAAAGGTATGTTAAATGTTCCTATACTAACTATTTTCATCAGATCCGATTTTTGATATACAATGAAAAATTTTATTGGAATTAGGAAACAAATCAGAAGTGTTGATTATTTTCCAAAATTTGTAAACTGCGGTGTGATTTCTTGTGTTTATCTTCTTTCTTTATTTTTTCTCTTTAAAATGACAGATAGATATAAAAATTAGTTGATTCAGAGTGACTCCGATTTTGGTCTTAATAATTCAATTACGTAATCGAAGCGAAGAGGGAGGGAATTAAAGGATTGGCGGAGTGCGGACCTAACCGTAATATTCAGAAACATTTTTTCGAAGAATCCTTTTTCACGTTCATTTATACGAAAGCACTCGTGGAATTTCTGCAGAAATTATAGGTGCACCTACGATTTCTCATTGAAATTGTAAAAATACCTCAGCCTATTCTGCAAACTTCGAGTTTGTCCGCCATTTTAACAAGCCCGAGTGCAGAGTTTGTGTCCTCAAAAAATTAGAATTATCCACGAGAAATTGCGGAATCGTGTTTCTATCTGTAGCCGACTTTTAAAGCGGTTTTTATGCTCCAATTCGAGATCCAAGAATAAAATACGATCCAATAATAATTATTGAATAACAGAATTGGCGGTTGATGTTAACAATTACAGAATAAACCGTTGGAATGCTTAATGAATAATAACAGTAATCAAATCACGATTAAATTATCGTTCATTAAACAGGAAATAATTACTCTTTTGATTATGATCACGTTTTGATGAATTAACGTGTATCAACATATTATTCTGTTATGACTCATTTTGCAATAACTGATTAGCAATTAGCTGAACGAAACTCCTTTCTCGAAATATTAAATAATACTACAATAAAAATGTTTCAATGTCGAGTTATATATTTCACTTCACAGCACAGGAATATAAAATATCCAGTTAGCGTTATATTCTTGCGAGGCGAACGTTCTACGAATGCAACCGAAACGTTTTTCTGGATGCAGTCGTGCAGACGCAATAAGTTCGTTGCAGCGTTTACGCGCGATCCTTATTCTTCGTTGACTTCATGGAACGAGACGGGAAGGCGAGACGAGAGGGTATGCGTTGAACGTTTAATGCACTTTCATTTTGCTGGTGACGGCAACGGTGATCGCCAGGTCGAGGTGCCAGACGATATTCGTATGCAAAGTGCACCGGGTGTAAGGCATAAAGGTGCTGGTAGAAATGACGGCATGAGGTGAAAAGGAAAAAGTGCGCGGAAGCTGCAGGTGCGAGGTGAACGTGGAATTTCAAATCCTCTCCTTCTCGTCCTCCTCTTTCTCCTTCCGTCGTTCGGGTTTTTTTTTAAATTCCACTTCTTCGCTGTTGTTTTTCGAATTTACGGAGAGATAAATATGAAGGTGATAATTTATTCAGCGAAATTTTATCTTTCGTGAAAAGTCGAAAACAATTTTTAACAAGATTATTTTCTTGTCAAAGACTTAAAAATTTTTTAATTTCCTCGTATCATATTTATATAAACTGAAAAACATTTTTCTTAATTTTAATAATATTTCTTTGAATAGTACTAAGTAAACATATATTTATAGTAAATAAATATTTAGATACTTAATAAAAAAAATGATTAAATCAAATAAATGATTTTTGTAACAAATAGGTATATGTTTACATTTAGCAAATAATTGCTTAGAACTATATTCAAACAAATATTTATTAAATTTATTATTTTTTTCAGTGTGTACTTCAGTATTTACTCGGTGTATTCCATATACATAGATGTATCACAAACTGTTTCTAATGTAAGTGCACCAAAAATATATATCTTGAGACAATATTCCAAAATTCTGCGCAGCGGTAATAACTGATCTCATCGATCCAATTTTCGGATTTCCTTTTACACATCCGTTTCTTGTTAGATACTCGGAAGAGTGGAGTATGTGTGTGTGTGTGTGTGTGTGTGTGTGTGTGGATATTGCTAATATATATATGACATTAATAATCGCGCCACTGAAATTCATTCAAAGTTTGAAACTAGGAACAGGTATAGGAAAAGGGAATGAGGGAGGAAAGGGGCCGTACGTCCCCCATCCCCATCGTAAGTTCTGAAATCAGATATGAGCAAGAGTCGCCGCCATGTTGTCGTATTTCCGGTGAATCCCAACTTCTGTCTCATATATAGCCGTTATAAGTGACTTTAATAAATGAATAATATGAAAAATGGAACAGATTATAGTAGGCATAAATCGAATTTATCTTTACTGTGTTATTTTTTATTAATGTGAATTTTTTAATACACGCTTTTTTAACCGTTTTCTATATTTAAAGTCTATAAAAGTGTGCAAAATTTATTGATTATTATTAAATTTTACAATTTGGAAAATAAATCGAATAATATTAAAAATATAGATTTTGGTAATAATATTAACGTTATTGTATAATATAAAAAATAATCAGATACATTTCTAAATATCTTTTATTTTTTAGAGTTTGTAACATCTAGTATTATTGATTCTTGTAATATCTAGATTCTTCCATTTTTTTTTATTCTAACTTGTGCGATAAAAGTATACTCTGATAGCAAACCTGAGGATAGTCTCCGAATTTTGTTTGATAGTCGAAGACATATAGATAGGAGTTCCTATGGGATTGACTGTGAAGATCCGCGGTTCTCGTTGCCGGAGCGACTGTATTCGCGTCCCCCAAGGCCTCGAGAGTCTCATCTCTGAAAAAGATATATATCTTTTTTGAAGGTTTTTTTTTTTTATAAATATACTTCGTAAATTTCTTCCAAACTTTGAAAATAAAAATTTAAAGATAAATATTAAAATTAAGGTAAAGTAAAACATGAAATCTAAACTGTTATAATTGAAGGAAATTCTGCAAAATTTTAATTTATGTATATATAATTATTTTGATTTTATAATAAAAATAATAAATACAAATTACAATAAATAACGGTCTATATCGAGTTAAATGGATTAATATAGTTCTTAAATTTTTAATATAAATGGGAATATATAAAGTGAGAAATGAAAATGAAAAACTAAAATGTCATACATTTCTGAACTCACAGGTCATATTTATCAATGATTCTTACAGATATTAGCGTCAACGTTTTACAAAATCGATTGTGAATACTGTGTATAACGTCTTATGTAGGACAAACCAAAAGACAACTCAAGTACAAATGAACATAGAAATAACATAAAGCATAACTCCTTTAGACATTCTGTCATTTCAGATTAAAACATAACCATAATTTCGATTGGGAAGGAGTTGCAATTCTATAGATACTGAAACACAAACTACCATAAAAGAAGAATTTCAAAAATGCTACATATTGAGAAACAAAACAATGGTATTAACTCACAAAAAGACACGAACGACCTTGACGAGTCTTATTATTATTTATTAAAACAGAATCTAACACAAACAAATGAATGTCAACCTTAGTGCTCAGAGTTTCCGTTATTATGCTTTTTTGCGTTTTATCATTGTAACATCTGCGTTCAACTCTATCGGAGAACTATATTAAATCCATTTAGCTCGATGTAGACCGTTATTGTAATTTGCACTGCAAAAAAAACGAGCGAAATTTATTAAAAATACTAAGTACAATTAAAATAAAAAAGTATAGGATTTAGATAAAAAGAAAATATTTAAAAATAAAATGTTTTTTTTCAATAAATAAATGTTGGTTCATAATAATTAATAAATATTGAAACAAATAATTGTAGATTGAAGAACTAATAAATGTACTATTAAATAAATATCACAGTTGATTTATTCGTCATCGGTAAAATAAATAATAGCTAAAGATAAACTAAAATAGATATATAACGAAGATAAATTAAAGTAAATAAAGAAGTATCGTTATGAAATTTATTTTTAATTAAATTTCTTTAGAATTTACCTAATATTGACGGGATGTTGCACAGGTCGTTCCCAATCCGTATACTCGTTTATTATAGTTGCTAGGATTTCCGGCTGGTGATACGTGTACGTGTTCCGCACAAATTCCCGTAAAATCTTTGTCCTTCTATCAGCTTCAATCCCATACTGAGCATCGTCGGCGGTTAACGAAAAATACGCTTCTGAACGAACAACACCCACCATCAAATCGTACCTGTGAATTCAAGATTTTTTTTTACCTGGCGGTTAATAGGGATAAAAGAAATTTCACAAAATATTAAGAAGTTTGCGATTTACAAAATATTATCAGATTTATAAACTTCATCTTAAAGTACAAAAAGTTTCCTGCGAAACGAGAAGTTTTTAGTCATGGATTCTGCAAGCTTGTAGAATTGTATTTATGTATAGAAAATTTCAACGCTACGCGCGCATTACCATATATAGTATTTGTCGCTAATAACATATTTATAAAACGTTTAAACTATCTACATTTGAATTCATGAGAGATTCTTAAATACTAGGATCTTCCATTTACACTTTAGACGCTAAGATTTTTTCGATTCTTTACAATCTTGTTTATGCGAGCTTATCATATTTTTCAACAAAGAATGAAAGAGTTATTCTCGATGTTGTAGGATGCGATTTTATCTTTCCTCGTGATATTCCTTCAGAAGTCCGATATTGTGTTTCTCGCGCTATTTATTTTCCCTTGCCTCGATGCTCGATTCCGCTAGTTATAACGATTGAAACAAAAAGAGGAGTTACGATACCTCGACAGTTTCGCGACGACATCCTTTCTCAGAAGGATGTTGTTGAGCGTATTGATCGTGTCGACTTGCAGGGTGTAGTCCTGATCCTCGGGATCGCCAGGATCGATTATAACGCCGTCTATACTGGGGCCAAAAGCTGGCGCAAACTCCAGCCCTTTAACAGGCACCGATACCAATTCACTCAAGGACACATCTCTCAAACACTTTAACAGGGCTTGAGGATCTTCCGCTACCTATGACAGAATAGAATCGACACTTCAGAAGAATCATAACTATTAGAATCCATTAACACATTTTTATATTTAAGCGTATAAAAAAGAGGGATATTAACGTTTTCCAATATTTTTCAATTTTCTCTTACATAGTAAAAATAAGGTAATCAAGTTTTTCACGTTTAAGAGGAAATAACTGCTGCAGTCGTGATTCATAATGTGAATCTGTATAAGAAACTTTTTAATTGTAGATACATTTTTAATACAGATAAAAATACATAGTATTTAATGAGAAGGAAAATCTTCTACTTGATTCATTAAATTTTTTTAAAGATTTCTTGAAAATGAACTGCTATTTTCAGTTTCTGCAAATTTAACTACTATCTTTCCTCAAGCGATTAAAAAAATATAATTTTATAGACTAGATATTGCGAGTAAATAGTAAAATTATATTCCTCATTTAATTTCGAAGAAATTAACAGAATCATAGGTATATTTAATTACAGTAATAAAACGTAATTATATGTAATGTAGATAATAATTAAAAATTACAATCATGAGCAATGTAAAAAAAAATTGAATGATCACCGTTAATAATTTCATCGATATTTTTGTTTTATAGAAAACGAAGCTTCAGATTGGCCATAGTATCTATCTGTCATTACAATTAAGATCGTGACCTGCAGGATATCCTATTAAGTCGTAACATTTAACGCGATTGTGCCGGGTAATTTTATCGGGACGAGAATCGGCAGAATCAGACGCGCTCCTCGTTCGATCGAGAACGATAGTCCCTGTCCACGTACGAACGGGCAATTTGCACACACGCAGGACGTCGCATTTAGTCAGCGGGCGATTCGACATTCGATTGCGGGTAACCACTGTGTCTGCGTTGGGAGCTGGATTTCCAAAGACGATTACAGACGCTAAAGCAATTCATTTGCGTGCGACCCCGAAATTAAAGCGAATCGCTTGGTGAGGCCGGTGGGCTCTCGGTCCAACTCTGGACGCCATTGAATTTAGCTGAGAGACGCACGAAAATCTTGTTTACCTTGACGGCGGTGTGTGCCAGTGCAGGGACGTGGTAGCCTCGTTAAGGTCGCACCCGCCTTGTTCCGGCGGTATATCCTCGCCGGGAAATGCCGCCGGAAAATGTCGACCCTTTCCCAACGCAATCCCGCACATCCCACGCAAAACGCGTCAACTCTGAAATGTCTTTCGCTATGCTCGGATGATTTGCCACATGAGTTATCTTTCGCATTATCCGCAGTTTATCGCATGCGATAAACAGACGAAAAGAACAAATTTCTTTTTTAAATAAGGAAGTATTTGTTGCAAGAACTTGACAAGAATATCGTTTAAGGATATATCGCACATATTTTTTAACAAAACGAAGAAAGTGCAACATGACAAAAACAAAAACAAATGCAATATAAAAATATTATAAATTTTTCTATACTGTATTTGAAAGTAGATACCTAATATAAAAAGTTTAGCGGATATTTAGAACATGGATTAAAAATTATTTCATTATAAGAACTGATATATATTAAATATATTATATATTTAATATATAATATATTTTTGATATATATCAAATTTCCATTTAAGGTAAATATTAAGAAAAAGGAAGCCACCTCCGATTACCTTGACCTTGACATATGTTGTCAAAGTCGTGACCCTGAATGATCCCCATCAGGTTTTAGATAGCGGTCGCTGTCTGTTAAAAAGTTATGAACAAAAAAAGTTTGAAAAATTACATTTTATTTCTACTATACAGCGCGACTTTTCCACGCGAAGCGACTCTCACCTCACTTTCCTCTATGATTTGTGATCACATGCGTATGCGTTCAACAACTCTCGAGTTCAATAGTGCACGAAATTTAAAAACAAATAAAAAGATTGATTAGTCATTCATGTCACATGACTATTATATGTATCGTATATACCACTCCCTTGCTAAGGAGCGCACGACTTTCCACGCGAAGCGAGGAATGGATTGGGTTCGGTTATTTTTAACAAGTCGTGGAGCTCTCCTATAGGAGGGAGGGCGGAACCCACACATACATTTTATAACATAGCAGAAATAAAACGTTATTCTTTAAATTTTTAGATTTTTCACAAAAAAGTTGAAAGAATAATATCTTATTTCTACGTTGTGAAGTGTATGCGTGGATGCAGTGGGTTCCACTCCCCCCCTACGGAGGGGCCTCCACAACTGTTAAAAATAACCTAACCCAACCCATTCCTCGCTTTATGTGGGAAGTCGTGCACCCTGTGGCTGGGGGGTGGTATACATAGAAATATTGCATGAGTGACTAATCATTTTTTGGTGTGAGGTAGCTCTACGTAGAAAGTAGTAAAATCTACTTTAAAGCAGAAAATTTCTGTTTCATCGTACTAGAAAAAAGACATAATTTTTCAAACTTTTTTTGTTCATAACTTTTAAACGGACAGCGACCGCCACCTAAAACCTAGTGATGAAGATAGTCACAACATATGTCAAGGTCAAGGTCATTGGAGGTGGTTCTCCTTTTTTTAATATTTACCTCCACTTGTAATAAATTATAAAATTGTTAAATATAAATATTGATTTTATTGAACTGGTTTATATGTGTACATAAATATTCATTATAATAAAATACAATAGCATAAATTTCAGTCATTTTTTTGTAGAAACTGGTACATTGTTAAGGATGTCACATCACAAAGTTTTAGCAAAAATATAAAAATTTTATAGATTTTTCTATACTTATGTTTATATAAAATTTAAGCAGAATTTCTTATTTATTTGAAAGTTATTTAATTTTCTGGTTTATTTTGTTTCTTATGTAAACTCGCATTTTATAGTACTAGCCTTTTCCTGCGCACGCTACGCGCGCGATTCAGGATTATTGGGGATACACAAACAAATCTGGAAAAGACCAAACTGGTTTGTTAATCCCCCTAAAATTACAACGTAGGTTCTTTCTTTACTTAATTTTTTAAAATATTTAAGCATTTATACATCCTTGAAATTTTTTTCCGGATTTGTCTAATTTATGAGATTATTATTTGTTTTTTCCTTTTTTTCCGTTAGTTTTAATTAACTGTCTTCATTTTAAATTATTGATTTTCGTATTTTTTTTTTATTTTTTTATTTTTCCCCGCTTCTTGAAATAGTCATGAAGATGATACTTTTCGTCTTCTTTTAATCTTATTCAGTTGTTCTTCGTTTTTTTTTTATATTTTTCATTCGTATTTTTTCGAAAAAATCATTAATTTAGTAAAATGAATTCTCAAGCAATCGATACGAACTCGAAAAATAATCACTTGGGGATGTTACAATCTTTTTTTGTGTGTAACTTTTTTTTGGAGGGTGGACAAACGTGGACAAACAGTGGACAAACGAATGCAATAATGATTTTACCAATATTCGCATTTAGGGGTGCCAACTTCATAAAGCAGCTCTGTAAAGTTGGAATCTGTAATATTGGTAATATCATTATTACATTTGTTTGTCCACTGTTTGTCCATGTTTGTCCACCCATTAATGCAAGTTATGCATAAAAAAAAATTGTAACACCCCCCCAAGTGATTATTTTACATTATTACGAAAAATATAATGAAAATAGGGTGGACAAATGAAAATAATGGGTGGACAATCACGTGCGCGTTGTGGACAAACGATACCCGTACATAATTATGAAAAATTATCACTTGGGGATATTACAATTTTTTTTTGTGTATAACCTTTTTTTGCGGGGTGGAGCAAAGAAAATAACGGGCGGACAAACGAATGCAATAATGATATTACCAATATTCGCATTTAGGGGTGCCAACTTCACAGAGCGCTACGCGCGCGATTCTTTTTTTTTTTGAACGACCATATAATTTTCTCTTACAAAATTTACACCAAAGCATAGTCGATTAAGCTTTAAATTATAATTACATTTCTTTGCGTCTTATTAAATTCGTCATATTCGGAAAATTTTATTCATTTCCCCAACATTTCCGTCTGCCATATTGAATTAAAAAATTTGGGACACGGAATCAAAATCAGCGTTCGCGGTAATCCCCATTTACCTAATTTCGCTGAAAATTTTAAATTTTTATGTATTTCGCAACACTTTCGTCCGCCATTTTGGATTAACCATTTGGAATTTCCTAATTTTGATCACAGATTCGAAATCAGCGTCCGCGTAAGCCCCCTTAATCCAAGTTTCGCCGAAATAGGAAAACCTTTAAGATTTTCGCATCTTTTCCGTCCGCCATATTGGATAAGTCTTTTTTAATTATCATAATTTTTACCATGTTTTTAAAAGAGCGTCCCCGAAAATTCCTTGTTACCAAAATTCACCATTTTCGGATTACTTTAACTGCCTCAACGAATAGAGGCTTCAAAAAAACGTCTACACGCCTTTTTTAAGATATGATGATTGCAAATTTAATCAGCATACGCAAATTAAATCAGCTTTTTTATATGTACTATAATAATACTCTAACAAATAGTGCAAAAGTTTATTTGAATTTGCTTCATTTAAAAATTATTTATCTATAAAATTTCAAATGAATATGATTATTTAACTATTATAAGCCAGATTATTTGTTATTTTATCTTTTGCAGCTTCACAGGGCATATGTATTTATGGTCAAGTTTTTGACTAATATATGACTTTAATTGGATGATATTTTTAGCTGATTGTGTAACCCGAACATCTTGAAAGATGAATCACTTAATTTGTTTAATAGACATTTAGAAAATAGACGTAATTGCAAGAGAGAGAGAGAGAGAGATGGTGTGTGTGTATTTTAATATCGAAAGAACAATTTGCACAAAAAAGAATTGAATAAAATTCGAGACTTTTTTCCTTTCTTTGTTTTTTTCTACATAATATCTATTGAAGCTTTGGATCATTAATCCAAAAATATGGTTTATCAAGCCTAAACGCTTCCGATTTGCGGTTCGCGATTAAAAGTAACGATTAAACGAGGATTACGTCAATTGTTTCTCGATGTTTCCAAAGCATTCTCTGGAAAAATGGCGGCGTGCAAAATGGAAATTGAGATGGGAATTATATTATGCCGCTCGGATCGGCGCACTTGTAGCGGGAATCAATTTTATTTCCACTCCCGCCTTCGTCCACATCGTCCACACACCCGAAATATCCACAGGGGAAAGTTCGAATTGGGAAAACACTGTTGGAACCGAGATATCGTTTATTGCGTTATTTTTGATGGACGAGAAAACGCGACGGGCTTGTAGATATCGAGACTCTCCGACCCGATCGGGAATATCGTCGCCGGAATTTACAGCGCTGCGTATCAATTTCAATAAAGGATACGTCACGGCGGCTTTGCGGTTATAAAGTGAACCAAGTACGTAATTCACCTTTAATAAAATAACCGTCAACCGAGGACAACATATTTTCCATAGCTCGTAGTGCAAGAGAATATCCAGAGAGAAAAAGGGAAGAATGGGAAAAAGACAACAAAAGCTGGATAGCAATGGCGAATCTGTGCAATAATGATATGGTAGTATTTTTTATTGAAATTTGAGATATATGTACAGTTATAATTTCATTTAATGTTATTTCTCATAAAATCGATATATGAAACGTTATATTCGAACAATCAAGAAATTTCTAACTGATAGAATAGTTGTCACAGCTGGACTATATACATATGTATATTATAGCTGTGCGCGTACCAAATTTGCATCGCCCAGTCTGCAATTTGCGAAATTTAACGTCCCTTTTATTGAAAGTGCGCGCGCAGTCGCCTATTTGGGCCGATGTCTCGAGTGTATATTAGCTTAATTGAAACGCACCGTTAATATAATTGGTATTGCGTAATTAATGCTGTAAAAACACCGGGTACGCGAGTATATTCGCATTTGATATTTTAATTTATGCCCGCCCGCTTTTACGCGGTCGTTTCGTCGCCAACGATCGGAATTATCGCGAATTATGCGAGCTCGAAAACGAGCGAATAAGAATTAACGCCGAGAGGCTGTCGACATGATGAAATATAACAAGTACACTGTATTCTGTCGATCGGTCTCATCCTGTAAACTGAAATCAACGAAATGTGTTTAACAAAATTAACGCTGGATTCGTCACGTTCAATACACGTAAAGTTAAATCTGTTCGAAGCTTTTGAATTTTTCAAATTTTTTTTAGTATCCTTAAAAGATTTGCTGCTTAAATTTTGTCCAAAAAAGCTTATATTTTTATTCCATAAAAACTAATTTTAACTGCTCTATGGTTAAGAATGTATTACACATAATTTTTAATGAAATAAAAAGATTATGAAAAATTACAGATTTTTCTGTATTATAGTATGTATATTTGAGTAGTAATATTATTAAGTAATATTACTTTTGAAAGTAAAAATTTGACGGTGGTTGAGAGATTCGCCTGGTTAATAAATTGTTTCAATAAGAAGTAAACATGGTTTTAAAAAATAATTAAGTAAAGTGAAAATGATAATTAAAGTAAAATGAAAAAAAATTCACTTATAAACTATAAAATTAAGTTGTTAAATATTGACCTTATTGAATTGTTTTATATGTATGTAACGTTCATTTTTATACGGAAATATATAATATTTTCAATTCTATATAGTCTCTTTACAGAGATTGTAGTACATATGTATTATACATATATCTGATGCATTCTTGAACACACACATGTGCAATATGCGTTGATCTAAATTCCTGTGTCGCTAAATTCTACGTTGATAGATGCTTTTGAGAAGAAAGTTCCATATATGGGTGGTAGAAGGGTTAATGAAATTATAGGCTGACGCGCAGGATAATTTCGGCGCGATCAGAGGGACATGTTTGCTGGTATACTCACCGACGAACAATTTAGGTGTTTGGCGACCTGCATGGCGTAATTGGCGGCGCCTCTCACTAACGCCCACGGTGAAAGCGCGCTGCCCGACATCAGAACGCCCCGATGAAACAGCAGACCTGCAATTGAGCCATCGATGTCACATACAGTGCGTTTCGCAAGGTTTGTTAGAAACCTCGAATGTAAAAAAGTAATTCATTATTCTTATTAATAATAATAAATAAATGAGGGCCTTATTAAGACGATATATTAACATTTTTTAACATCTTGCGCTTGGTACAGAAATGTAAAAATAGAGGTATAATTATATAATTATTAACAACACTTTGTGTAAGATCTTTAGTTGTTAAATATTTCCCGTCTGTTATTGTTCCGTACAATTCTAGCAACGTTGCAATCTTTATGTTCTTTCTACGCTAGGAAATGTTCCCGGAAATGTTCTGCATCGTAAAAATTCTATATCTTAGAATCGCTGCGCGATTCAAGATGCGATTCCGGAATCCATACGACGCGTGGAATCTTCGTGTCGCACTTTTCGAAAGGGCCTGGCCTTATCTCGGAATTTACAAATCGTATCTCGTAATACAAAAATGTTTGTTCGCGTAGAAAGAGATTATATATCGCGACGCAGAATTGAATTTCGAGATGATTTCGGGGTCGATTCCCTTCGCGAACGGAACTACGATATTACCTGAGTAAACGAAATACAATCCGAGTTTCAATGCATAGTAACGAATACTCATCTCGACCGCTCGATAGATTTATTTCCAATCAACGACTTCCATTACGAGGTTATCAGTGATTTCCGCTCTAAAGATGAGGGGTACAATTCGCCGAACGTAGCCATATACAAGATGTCTAAACTAGAAAGATGAATGTGCTGAGGTATTGAAAAATACCTCATCGAAGACTTTTTATAGAGAAAATTTCAGTTAAAATCTGTCTTGTATCAGCATACAAGCACACACAATTATAAAAATTGCTTTATTATTATTATCTTCATTTTTACCAGTTACATCATCGTTTCTATATTATTATAATATTACGTAAAGGGAAAAGTTAACAATTAAGTAAATGAATTCTTATTTATTTTCCGAGAGAGTGTTGAAACATCTCTCTATTTTATTAATAATTTTTATTTTTTGTACGGAAAAAACAGAGGAAAATAAAATATTGGAAGGTTCTTGCTCGGTCGTAATAATAAAATGTAGTATCTACAACACAAAGAGTCGAGTAGAAGCTTATTAGTCATTAATTTTTTCGTCGCAAAATTGGGCATTACATAAAACATGAATAGGCAAGAGATTGCACGGTTTGTAGCGCGAAGAAAATTAAGGCGGTAGGACGAACACGGTGTTACATAGTTTCGTCGGTTAGTTCGTCTATTATTTAATACAGAAGACCGGGATAAGTCGCTTAATCCCAATTTTGTAAGTCGTTAATCTTGATATCTCTAGGAGATGAGAGATTCCATGAAAGATACTACATATATACGTATCAGATCTCAACGTACACAGTGTTAATTAAAAAGTATAAAAACACTTCTTTATTATTTATAATTAATTAATTATAACAGACAGCTTTTATTTCAATTACTTCTACAATATTATTATATTATTTCATTAATTAATGATATACCTATTACGTTATGCCTATCATTCTCAATATTAATGTATTACTAAATTTTTCATTTACTTATTCTTAATTATATAATGAAATGTTATTAATTTTTTACACGCAGTATGAAAAAGGTTTAAGGCTTTATTTTCAATTTATTGCGTAGTAATATTATAATCTTTATAAAATACTTTGTATCGTGTAAGAAAGGTTTGTGTGTGTGTGTACGTGTTTAATATTTAATAAATTTCCTCATATTCTCGTAATATTTGCGTATTCAAGCAAGCGAAAATAAAATAAAAAGTGACGTCTTTCCATGTATAGCTTAGTCAGTCAATCATCTTGATATTCGATGAAATATGTCTTAGAGAGATGTTATCCCGATACATGTCGACCGATCTGATTCGCTCTTATTCATTTAGTGAAGGAGATACCAAGGTAAACTCTGAATATCCTGGCGGCATCCTCGACGTATTTCCGACATTACAGAATCAAGATGGCCTCGTTCTTCCGATATCCGTCGTCGTCGAGAGAACGACACCGAACGATAAGATGGTGTCGAAGCTCGCGACATTAAAGGACTATTAAAGGTTTATCGCTGACTCAAATTCCGTTGCGTTACTTGGATTTAATGGTAGGTCTCTATAATACCTAAGGATTAATTAATTCCTTCGAGAGAACAAGATCCCAGAAGCCCAGCGTTCGACAAATTAAAGCTGTAGGATCAAAGGAAAGGAAGAACTGAAATCCGAATATTGAGATTTAAAGAGAAAAAAAAAAGAAGAACTAGATTCATAAGGATAGGAAAATCAAGAAAGTTAAGATGCAGGATTGAAGCAATCGAGAAATTGAAAAATCGTGAGATTTTAGGATTTGAAGAAGTTAAGGTTCCCAAAGATTCAAGCATATAAATTATTCAAGACAAAATCAAAGAAGACGGGAAACTATATATGGAAAATAGAAAATTTCGGAATTTGTTAAAATCGGGATACAAGATATGAAGAAATGAGATGCACATATTTAACGAAAGCAAACAAAAAAAAATGGATAATAAAAATCTAGATTAATTACGGAAATAAGAAACAAAAATAAAAAAATTTTTTAAACAAGATAATTATTTAAAAAATTTAATTATTTCAAATTCCGCGTAGAATATTAAAATACCATAGATTTAAATTCAATAACACTAAAATTAAAAATTAAAAAAATTTTTTAGAAAAATTTATAGATATATGATCTAACACAGTGAGAGAGAATTTAAACTTTATTATTCTTTATTATTTATCGCCGAATCGCGGTCAGTTTTTGCGCAGGAAAATAGCAGCTCGTAAGGAAGAGATATGATATAATTTTTTAGCTGGATATCGCTATTATTCTTCGTCGTATTCTTCGACGAGTCACGTAATACTAGCTCGAGTTTATCAGTTCAAGAAGGCAAAAAACAGAGTATTGCAATCTGTTTCGGAACCGCAAAGCTTATCGTCGGAGGACCTTCTGGATAATAATTCACTACAGCTGTGAGTTGTCAATGGTGGTGGGGCCAGCTGATTCCTCCATAATTTATGGCATCTGGTAAACCACCCCATTATTCCTAGCTTCTCCGTATCATTGTCTTGCTCTTCGACCTCTACCCCTCCTGCGCTCTACCGTTTCTACGTGACATTATCTGTTTCCTTGCGACACAAGAGAAACAGCTTTCTATGTGTTGATCCAAGACAATAAACTGTTACAAGAACATTTCAGTACAAGTATCCAAGATCGAACTTTCAAAAATACATTTTACTCTTTCCAAATAAAATTATACGATATTCAGTTACATGATATCTCGCAGAACACCAGTTATCAATAGTACACCAATATTTTAATTTTTTACTCAACAATTGTGTAGAAAATTATATACAACATTGATGTGTGTGTATAATGTTACTATTAGTTTGTCTTTTTGTGAAATGCATATAAGACGTGTTTCACACATACTACGTAGATTAGTTGCATTTTCTATAAATGTAATCGGTTAATTTTGAGTCAATTTTTGTTTACCAAAAATTTTTGCAATTTATCTTATAGGTATTATTTTATGCTTTTTCACACACATTTTGATAATTATTCATGTATCGTAAAAAGAAGCGCTTCTGCAATAACACGAATTGAAGATGTATAATTGTCACATTTCGACAAGTATTGTACTGAAAATCTATGGTCCTCTTGGCGGAGATTGATTATTATACTGTCGACAGTGTTACTTTCTTGTAATACTCTTCTCTCTAAAAAAAATCATTAGATTTGGCCTTCTTTTGTCAGAGATTTCTTTTTAAAGCCTGAGAAAATTCAACGATTTATCAAAACTTAGAGCACGCGGTTAACCGGAGATTTTTCTGCTAAAGTCAGAGAATCGTTTAAAAAACCTGAATCTTTGACCGAAAACTAGATAGTTCGCTACAAATATGAGCTGAAACGTGACTCACCATCAGGAACCGCGTGGCTGGTCATCAGGAAGTTGACGCAGGCGGCACCGGTACCGTGTCCTACTAGCGTGACGTTTTTGGGATCGCCCCCAAAATAAGCGATATTCTCCTGTACCCAGTGTAACGCTGCGATCTGGTCCATCAGACCGTAATTCGCTGGCGAGCGTAAGTGCGAGTCTGTGTTGGCGTTTAGAAAGCCTGCAATCAAAACAAGTACCGCTTATAGTTAGTGCAATGCTCCCGGTGTCCATTATCGACGGTTACGGCTAGTATAACATCGCCGTGATCACACCGGAATTACCGTCGATGGGCTTAACTTGGATCGTCGCATGTCGCGGACCATTACATGATAGATGAGATAAACGCGTGAGAATGAAATTGGGATTAGTCATGTCCGAATGGGAAAAATGAGAGAAAAAGGGAAATATAGAGAGATGTAATTTCAGTCATTAATTATTTCTATATTTAGAGATATATATATTTGTGTTTAATCGCGTTTATAGTAAATCTATGATAGATACATGCGTGTACAAGTATTAATTGTAATAAATAGTCGATAGTTTTATAAATGACTGATTATGTAAGAAAACTTTTTCGAATCTTAAAAATTATTAGCAATTTATTTTGATTTATGTTGATTAATAATATTAATTAATAATATTTTTTGAAAAACAAATTTCAATTTATTTCTATTCCTTAACAAATAATGGATGTTTTTCGTAGAACTTTTTTTTGTGATTGAATTATAATATTAGATTGTTGTGCTAAGATTAATTTACATACATTCTGTGTGAAGTATTAATTGAATTTTGCATCTGTTATGTGAATTATTTGGTCTACTAGAAACCTCGACGAGCGCAACCCTCCCGCGTGAAAGAGCTAAATGGTTAGGGGATATAGAGATTGGCTCTGGCGAGCAGCGGGTATGATTTAGTATCCAGACGCGTATCACGTCCTACTTTGTGTATCGTTTCGCTGAGCGAGATATCGCTATCAATTGGCGGAGTCGAGGTGATATTTATGACGGCCGGATGGCGCCATTGGCGACAGTCTTACCCGATTTGTCGGGTTCAGCATTGTCATGATATGCAAACCGTTTCGACTTTGTCCTTGTCGAAATACATTCGTCAATAGACCGACTTTACTCTTTCCCTTCCGTTTCCGTCAAATAAATCTGGATTCGTAAATCTGCCAGCCGTCCAGGCTTGTACATATTTATTCTCGTATTTGTTCCATCGGGGTTTCGTATAGTCCTACCTTACGGTTGAATACTGAAATAGTACTAATTTTGCGATACGAAGAAATTTCGACACTATGCGCTCTTTTAATACGTAACGATCAGATGATTACAGTTGAGTGCTTTTCATTATATTGTACGATAATTATGAACTATTTTCTTCCTCTAGATCCAATTATAGAACTATAGGAACAATTTGATATACTGGAATCATAGATTTTAATATTCCCATATTAAACGACTGATATTACTATACTATTTAATAAAAAATAGATATATTTCTCTCTCTCTTTTGGCGACAATTATTCTTTAATTGTTGAATTAATAATTTAAACGAAATCAGGAATTATCAACGGTGTCAGCTAGCCATGTAGTTAATTAGTTCCAATCTCTTTTAATACAGATAGAAGAGAAAATTAGATTAGCGCTAATTGAATCAGGCCCGACCCTTCAGGGGCTTTTCACCTTTTCCTTCCTTTCATTCGATCGAATTAAATCACGAGCGACGATTGTTGTTGCTGGCAAGTTCGGACGTGATAATTCACCACTGCAATGAGACCTTGTCTCTGGTCGGTATATTTCCTTTGCAGTTGTCATACGAAACGCCGCGCCATTAAATTATCCATCATATTTACCCGTCGACATACTGGAGATTGTTCTTCGCGGAGCTAAGAGGATTATTCCCATTATGAGCCGCGTGTATATACTTGCCGGTGCGCATTAACTTTAGAGTACTCGATGCCTTAACAAGGGAGGCGTTACTGTCGCCAGGATCTAGGTCAACGATGTTGCGCCGACAGGCCGACTGTTTCTCACTGGTTTTACCAAATCGATAATTTGGAAACCTATGCTGAGTGGAAAAACGCCCAACTTTCGCCTTTCTATAAATTTCCTTATAAAAGTACCTATGTAGGATCACGTGTAGGATTTTAAGTAAGATTAAATTAGTTTAGGTTCCATCTAATTATTGAATAATTGCATATGGAGATATTTACTCTTTTTTGGTGTTTTCTTTTTATTTTGGATTCTTTTGGATTGCTAATGGTTTCTTTCTCTCTCTCTCTCTCTCTCTCTCTCTCTTAAATTCTCTGTACGTCTGCTAATATATATAGGATTCATTGTTATTTTAAAGAACTTCTCTATATTTTTACAAACAAAATTGCGCTACTAGTATATTAAAAAAGTCTTTTCATAAATAAAAAATAGTAGTTTTTCTGATAAATTCCTCCATAGGTTTTTTACAAATTGTATCAATTTATTTTAATAATTTTCGAATTAAAAAATAAAATAGAATAAATATCCATTTTAAATATTGTCGGGATTGCTACTTTGGGAGTTGATGACTTAGAGACGAACAGACATGTTAAATAAGAGCACATTTTAATTTTAATCTTTAATTTAATTTTATTTTATTTTTCAAGATCAGATTTCATAGTATCGGTTTTCGTCATCCGCAACCAATCGAATCCAATTAATTCTAAATAATATTTTTCACGTTAACCTGGTACCACATTAATGATCACCTGGAATATTTTACATTCCAATTAAAATCACGATTGTTAACAATAACGTAAGTTATCGATTGTTTTCTGATTTATTAGTATTTGAAAATATTATGGATATGTGAATTTATAACAATAATTTTCTAGAAATCAAATAAAATTAAACAGAATAAGCACATTAAGTAGTTTATTATGAAGATATTTGTAAAAAATAAATTAAGATTTTATTTATAATATAATGCTTTTTTTTTTCAAATGTATATTTTTGATGGAATTGCACTTTTAAAGGTTAGTAATAACAGTTATTAAAAAAGAAATCTGTTAGATAATATCTACACAAAATAATATTTTATTTGTTTTCACACTTTTTCACCGCAAGGAGGTATAAAATGTTTCAGGAAACTATTTCGGAGTTATATATACATTGTTTATGATATACGATTATTGTCTACAAATTTTTTACATCAGAGAATATTCTTCCGTATCTTTTACTTCTCCTTATCTTTCTTTAGGCTTTTTGTCTCTTAAAGTTTTATATAGGAGATTGAATTCTCACCGCTTGTTGTATCTACCTCCTAAAACTTTTATTCAATAGGACATTAGTGACGCAATCTGATATCGATCGGATTGTTGAGATTGTGATTTTCGTACTTCAAGTCTCTCTTTGGATTTTTGTGACGTTGAATTCCTGTAGGATTAGAATCTTCTGAGACTTTTGTGTAATGGGACATTTGCATCATCCCGTTCAATCTTTTCCATCTTATGGCTGGTGGCGTCTCTTCTATGCTTCCAGCCCTCGAGCCATGTCTGGTCCGATCCAATAACGATTCTTCGCGCTTTACGTCGAAAAGAGGGGAAAAAACGCACAAAGCTCTTTCGCGTGCGCTCATACGCAGCAGAGAGGTGCGAGAACATGAAAGCGGAATAGAAATAAAGCACCGGTCATGTCCCATTTGATATTCAACCTCCGGCGTATCTGTCGCGTTGCGCTTCCGCGTCTCCTATTCTTCTCGTTACAATGGAACTGCTGAACGCTATTCGTTGATTTAAATTTTCCGGTACACGCTGGTATACACGCGCGCGGGTGGAAGGGAATAGGACTCGGTGTATCGCCAGCGCGGTGCTCACAAAGCATCGCATCATTTTTCGAAACGAAGAAAAATGAAAAAAAAAAAAAAAGAACGGAGTTGTACGAGGAAAAAAACTACTGCCGCGTTGCGGGGTGGAATTTCCTAGGCGTTGCCATTTTATCCCGATCCCCTCTACGGTTATTTTCTCGCGGTTTTTTTTGTTTTTCATTTCACTATCGACAGTATCAAGTTCCAAAATAGATTTACTATTTGCTGTCTTCGTGTATCATTTTTCGAATTTATTTTCATGAGAAATACCCTTTTAATGTTACTCTTCTCTTTATGTTTTTGCACACTTTTCTTAATACATAAATAACTAGTTGTTTAGTGTCTGATAGTATCTTACAAGAACAGTGATTAATTAATAATTGAAAAAAAAAATCTGTTAAAGTTCCTGTTTAAATATACTCACCACTATTAATAATTTAATATCAAGTTCAAATCTAAAGCATGTCGGTTTCTCAGATCTTTAAATTTTTTACTTTGCTTGAATTTTTAGTTTCATGATTTCTAATTTTCCTTTGTTGAAATCTTAAGTCGAGGTGATTTTGAAATACCCTGCAACGAAGGTGATGGACGAGAACAGCGGAGTTTGCTGTCGCCTCGACGAGCAGGATGAGTGAGTGAGTGAGTGAGTGAGTGAGAGAGAGAGAGAGAGAGGGGGGGGGAGGAGAAGGATGGAGAGAAAGGGTGGAGTCAAGAATTTAGTTTGGTGAAACGGAAGACCTGGCCGTAATGAGTTTCCTATTAGATTTGGTTGCTCGGGTTGCCAGGCAACAACCTGGGTCGCCGGAACTTGCAATCCCAGTGGCATTCGCGGCCAAGTTCTCACCACCGCTTCTTCATGTTCTTCTACTTTTTCTATGGTTTCTTACTCGCTGATGAGCGAACGTCGCATGTCAAACGTCACAAAGTAACAAATTCTGTTTAATGGTGCCTTGGCGTAATGCGCGGAATCGTGGCAGTTTGCATCTTGAACAGACGAGTGTTTTGAACTAATTGACCGGTTTCAAGGATTGGTTTCTCCAACATCGACTTTGGTTGGTCAGCCCTTTCGCAATCATAGTCTCTATAGTCTGAACGTTGTGGATAGAGTAGGAAAATTGAGTAAACACACTTAGCGTTAAGTGACGTTGGTGTAACTGGCTCTAAATAGCTAATGAGCTACGGTCGACTGGTTCGTTCCAAACCTTAACTGCTGCAAGGTAATGTTTCACACCATTAAGCGAGTAGCTAACATATGTGATTTATCTGAGTTCTAAACAGTTTGCAAAAGTTATATCTGACTCAGCAATCGAGATTAATTATTGAGGTTTAACGCAGAAAAAAACGTATAGAATACATATAGAAACTAAGAAATGTGAAACGTATATAAAAAATTGAAGAGATTCACAGCGTATACACGGGTTTTATCTAACTTTTGGAAATCATCCACTGTGGATACATAAAGAATTTGGATCTAAATTATGGATCAATCCGTAAATTAAAGCTTAATAATTTTTAAAGAATTTATAAAGGGAAGATATCCCCCCAAAAATAGTATACACATAGATTTTACGTACTAACAAAACATATTTTAGTACTTATCCCCAATTTTGATGTGATTTTTTATGTTAATTTTATTTTTATTTGTATTATGCTTGATACACAAATGTTTAATATATGATTACTCCCTTTGTATAATATCTTTTATTCTATCGTTTCAAACAACTATATATATTTTGTAATTTTTACTGCTGATAAAACATAGTGTACAGTTTAAATGTTCCGTATTGTTAAATTTGTTCTACACATACGCACATACGTATATACGTGCGTGCGTGCGCAAGTGTACATAATATATATATGATATATACACAAAAATTAATTTTTTTAACAATTTACATTAACATTATTCGTTATTGGTATAATTAACTTCTTTTAATTATATTTATCTTCCACTAATTTATAGACAAATGGCATGATGCAATGTTCAAGTATTCGTGAGAAATTTGCATCAAAGAAATTTGCAACAAAGTTCTCGTGTGCCTTCTGCACTGATTGATATAGAAAACAAGCGTTGTGCAGCAAGTAAGGAATTTTTTTATTTATTATATGACCTCTTTTTTGCTTCATTTGATTGTTTGAATCATTTAACGTTAATCGAACAGAAGAAATCGTTTTTTTTCCGATACGCAATAAGGCGCAAGAGAAACTTTGTTGCAAATTCCTCGCGAATACTTGAATATTGAGTTATATCATTTGCCTATGAATTAATTGGAGTTAAGTATATTTAAACTTAGGTAAAACCTGTGTGTACACTACTGTCTTTCTCTTGTTAGAAATAAGAAATTTTATAAAATGAATCGCGATATAAAGAATAAAGACTCGAAGAAAACTAATGCTTAGACATAATAGTTTAATAATTAATCGATCCCGGAGTTAAAATTTATTATCCAAAAGTTCAAGAAAATAGGAAACAGTTTTAAGAATTCAAAATGAACACGTGCCTACAACTTAGGAATGAAATTTCCAATTCCAAACGTCTACTTACATCCAAGGATAGACGAAGACACAGGAATTCTCGAACACCCAAGATTTCCAGGTCCAAAAACGCAGAAGATTTGGTTCTCCAGGATTCCAAGAATGGAGAGGGATCTAGGTGTCACTGAATTGGGATCGAAGGCATCTGTCATGACTTACCCAGAATACCGAGTCTATAGTTGATGGTGACGACGACGACTCCTCCGTAACTTGACAGGACGCTGCCGTCGTAAGGATTTCCACTGCTCCATTCGTAGCTCTCGCCATGCACGAACACAATCACAGGATACCTTCTGCCACCACCGTCCCTCGCGCCAGCTGTAATCAATAAAATTATCTTGTGATCGATCGACAGTCTCGACACCTGATAGTTTACATCTCGCGGCCTTAAAAGGTCATTTTTCAGTCTTTTAAGGTTTTACAAAGTTTTGACAGTTGGATAAAGAATTACCATGTCCTGAAGAAATGCAAACTTTACGTATCAGCAATCGAACGGTCATGTTCTTTAGTTATAAATTATTGCGTGTTTGAAAATGCGCAATTTGCATAAATAGACATATCCAATGATAAAAACAGAATATATTTGAAAAATTTAAATACGTAGGAAAGAATTATGATTCTGTTTGAATTCCAACAACAAATGAATACAAATGATACACGATAAATCAATAACATTGATCGACAAAATTTAATTTATTAAATTGATATGATGGATATTTTGTACCGAATTTTTTTTGCTGATGTATTTCAAATCTATTTGCCAAATTTATAAGGAGTACTTGTACTTAAAAATGTAAATTTAAAGATGTCATGTGTTAAGTATGTACATGTAATATTCCAATCGAGTAATACTCGAAGATTTCGATACTCATTCGAGTTCTATGTTTAATGGACAAGCTGTGCATGTTGGGCGACATGTCGCCTATCGCTTTTGATGTAATTAAAACAAGCGGTAGCCACGGCAGTGACTCGTACACACGAAAAGGGTGCGTCAATCTGATTTGCCATGGTAATGCCGGAAGGGTGAACACGCAAGGGTGATCGCTGCGACCAGACCAAGCACCGGTCATAATTCAACAAATCACGCGTCATCATCCTCGCGATAGCGGCCCGCATCACGATCATTCTGTTGCCTTCTACATCCCTTTCTAATCTCTCGTGAAATGCAACAATCTCATGACAAGTTTCATCGATTAGTTTATAACCAGTACATGCATTTTTAATAATAAGGTATTTTTAATAATACTGCTATAATGTTTGTTTCCGCGGATTTAGCCTAATTATTAAAAAAATATATTTAGATTAATTCCGTGTGTTTTCTTTTCCATTTTAATGGTAGCTGTAATTTAAAATCACGTAAAATTTATATATAATTTCAGAATTGGCTTTACTATACCATCTTCTGATTTGAAATATTAAGATACAACAAACATTATAAATTAAAGCTCGAAAAAATTTAATTTAATTTAATTTTTTCCTTTTAAGGTTTATTTTCTCGAATTCTTTGAAAGTAATTTAAATTGATAACGTAAACTTTCTCGCAAGATATTACGTAAGAAACGAGATTTTGATATTCATTTGCACTCTTGATAGTTAATTTGCGAAACGAATCTTGCAAGAATGAACGTGTCGCGGAAAATGGATAACGTCAATGTGATTAGGGGAATAAACGGCCGCTTGATTGACCGGCCGTACTAATTAAGTGACCGTCCAGGACGATGATGATTCGATAACCAAATCAATTAATGGACCGCAATTACGCAGGCAAATTATTATTTTCATTATCGTCCTTGTAACTTCCTCACGTGCTTCCTAATTGCAGGCGCCTTCGTCAATTGCTCGAAATACACGTTCTCAGATACATATTATCCGTTAAAGTACATTTTATACAGCTCGGAATTCATAGGAGAATTCTAGTACTAATTGTCGACATGTATGTAACATTTGAAGTGCTGAAATCAACTAATTTTTTGCAATTCTTTTTGAATTTCTTAAAACTCTTCATTCACACCACTATACTATTTCAGATTGTAATATCAGAAGCGAAAAATATGTTGTAAAAATTACGAAATATGGAAATATTTTTCAATAAGACAATTAACATTTACAATCGACAGAATCGCGTATAAAATATATCGGAAATTTTCCTTTTTGTGTCGTTAACTGATAAATAATTATATATTTCGAAATGAATTATATACAATCAAAAACAAAATGAGATATGTCTACAGTTATAACAAATTATCAAAATGATAATATGGAAGTAAGTACGTTTTAATTTTTCCTAATAAGAAGATAGTTTTGTGGTATATTTTCTAAGTTTATTCTATTGATTAATGTAATATAAATAATTATTGAAAAATATTTTTCTTTAAATATAGTTTGCAAAAAATTTTATTGTGTAATTTTTGGCTTGTATGACAATCAGAGATAGCAATGAATGAATAGGAGTCTTAATATCTTCAATATCTTTTTCTTTCTATTATATAACATAAACTAATGCAAAATAAAGAATAAAATTTGTCTTGATATTTTTAAATATAACTGTTTATTTCAATGTTATACATATTATGTTGTGTATAAAATTATAATTTACGAATTTTTAAGAGTTTTTCTAATGTCCGTTTCCATCAACGTAGATTAATTTTAATCTTAGTTAAACTTACTTTTTCTCTTTTATAATTCTTAAAACTAGGAAAAGATGAAGAATAAGTTTAATTGAGATTAAAGTTATAATCTAAATCGAATATAAAAGTAGAAAAGTTTAATAATATCCGAAGCTTTAAGATTTGGAGAGCAATAAATACGAGAATTCAAAATTTACGATATTTGAGAATAAAAATTGGAATTCGAGAGATAAGAAGATCTAACAATACGAAAAGCAGAATACGTGGTTTATCTGCAAACGCCAATTTTCAATATCAAATCCGTGAATCCAGAATTCGGAGTATTGAAGGATTTTGCAATCGCAGATTTGCATTTCTCGTAAACAAAGAATAAGAATCTCATTTCCCCGTTGCGGAAGGGAAAATCGGGATTTCAACTTATCCGGCCTTGTGGCGGCCGCGATACATTATTTCAGCCGTGAATAAATTTACAAGCGCCCTGTCAATATTTGATGCGATCCACAAACAATTTGCTGGGGCGCCTCTAACGGACTTTACATATTCATAAAGCGGTGCTCCGTAGTTTGATATCGTGGATGGTAAACGAGAACTACCTGAGTTCCCGTTAGATCGCTTTATTTTGCAAACTCGATATTGTATCCGCCTTCTTAGCAACGCTTCTTTTAATCCTTTCAGATTGCTGGTAAATGCCGCTAACAGATAGAACCTTGTGCATTCACGCAGAAATTGAAATTGTATCTTTTCTAATATTTTCTAGCTCAACCTTATGTCATCAAGATTTAATTTTCGTTGTCATTTTTGTCATATTTGAAAAGGCAAGCGCATCGAAAAAGAAAATTTATTAAATCAAAATATGGTTTCAATTTTTTCCAATCAATCAAAATTTAATAAACATCGAAATTTCGTTAAATTTAAATTTTTATTCACAATGAGTGCGACCGCTCACTGAGCGTTCAATGAGCTCTTACATGTGATTTGCATATTCCGTTGGATCTAAAAATATAATCCAAACAGATACAAGAGCTCACTGAGCGCTCAGTAAGCGGTCACCGTGAATGCACCATATATAATACATGATATCTTAAATTGAACGGGTTTAAGAAATAGAATTTTCGTTAAATTTTAACAAATGATTTCAATAGTACATGAATATGCGAATATTAAATGCTTGCTTATAATAATTAGAAGAGTAGTCGTTCTTTCAAATTTCCCTTTTTTTTTTAAATTTAATCTCGAATCTCATCTTTAACCCTCGGACTATATTTCGTTATTTTGAAACATTACATGTAGACATAGAGAAAAAGAAGAGCATAATATAGAAAATACAAATAGATAGAAAGAGAGAGAGAGAGAGAGAGAGAGAGAGAGAGAGAGAGAGAGAGAGAGAACTAAAAAAGGTATAGGGTTAACGTCGGGATAAACCTGCACAATGATGCGCAGCAAGGTCGGGTGTAACTGCGGTACAGCACACTTTATCGCACCGTCCTGCGAGTTACAGTGACACAGGCAGGATTACGGTGTACAGATAAGGATGACGACGGTGCGGTTATCACGGCTGCATTCATTGCTTGTATTCACCACAGAATCGCCGCGGTAAAAGCTTGCATACACTCCAAAAGCGACGTGTATACTGGATACGCTCGTCTTATTAAAGACGTCCTCATGTGACCACTCAGGACAACTACGTTTATATCGTCCTCATATAAATCTTATCATTCTCATTCCCACGAATTCCTTTGCAATATAATTGTTTGCTTTAGGTGCAGAGAGTCTAAAAAGTTGTAAAGATAGAAAAGTTACTTATTCGGGAAACAAGATAGACTGAAATTGAAAGATTAAGATACAATCAAAATGTAATTTAAAGTTAGTGTCGCTGTGCTTGTCTTAACGCCGAAACACTATGTCTCCTGAAAAATTGAACAAGATTCGGAAAATATCAAATAGGACAATGAGAAGATTTTAGAGTGAAAATATATGAATGAGAATTAAATAATTTCGGAAATTAAGGATGTGAGCAAAAAAATGAGAATTAAAATGAAAATAAACTGATTATAATAGAGAAAAAGAATAAGATATAGAAAGATTCAATATCAAAAATTGAATAATTTTATAACTTAATACAGTAGAAAGTATTTTTATTTGTGTTAGAAACGGTTTATTCAGATTCTCATTATTATATTGAATTTTTAATACATCTGAGTGTTAATTCGACATAAACGATCGTCATTTTGTGTCATGTTCTTTGTATTAATCTTATACATAATAATAATAAATATTTGTGTTCTAACATATTTATCTTATATTTAATTAATACAAAAATTTAAGTAGATCGTTTAGAACATAAAAAATGTGTTAAATTAAACACAAATTTTTCCACTGTGAAGATTTTGAGCCGATCTGAGAATTTCGATTCACAAATACAAATGATCATAAATGCAGCTTTTGATTCGAATTCATTCCGGCTGCTATGCTAGATCCTTCAAAGTAAATTTTCCTTCATGTCAGCTTAACCATCTCGTTGATTCTGTCGATCTAGATTCTATCATTTTCTTCAATATATGAAGCGAATGGATTTTAAATCGACGAGAAAAAATGAAATTTTTTGCCGCTTTTTTTGCATCTCATTTTTTGACGCATTTCCACATTGGGACTACCAATTTTTTCGTACTGGTTGGAATATCGAGAGCGTTACATCATAAAAATGTCGTTAAAAGTTTTTTATTGCGTCATTATTTTCTTTAATCGAAAAATTCGAGATAGAAAATTTCCAGAAAAAGAGAAATTGGTAACACTGGACGATGACATGAACATGGCCTATCGTTATTTTTATGCTCGACGGTACCACATCTCTTATTAAAAAGCGTATCTAAAAA